TTACAGATATTAGAAAGTTATCTGGAGCGTAACAATGCCTAAAATAACTTTATACAATTTGAGAAAATTATACACAAAATATCCTAAAAGCAGATTACAATACATGCATTAGGGAATATTCACGTGTCTTAGAAATGGTCTCGACGATGTGATCATTTAAACTTTTCATTTTTTTAACTTGGATACGTTTATTAGATGGCCAGTAACCACAGAAATCTTTCTGTAAGCATGTTCGTGCTTAACTTTACTTGGTTACTCATAAATATTCCCTTTTTTGATAGTTCCCTGAAATGCGACAGGCTCTAGCGTAACAATTTAATTTAGATAGTGTGCTTTTATGGTGGTTGTACTGAAAACCTAATCATTATGTCTAAAATTTCTTGAGAGATTTACTTAGCAACATCTAGAACTGACATGCTATCTAAGATCATGGTAGTTGCATTGGTAAATGTTACTACGTATAAAGAGGAAATTACGTAACAGATCCATCGGAGTTTGGGGAACTGACTTTTATTTAAAGCAACGAACACTGCCCCTAGAATGCTACTAAATTTATGAACTAGTTTTAATAGTAGTAGCAACGTAATTCAGCAGACAGTAGTGAAATTCCACGAGCCGAGTCTTGGGTTTTTTCCACGTGCACGCGATCATAGTTAACTCAAGCAACTAGGCTATGAGTGTTTACAATTCGCCTACTAATTTTAACCTAACAAAATGTTTTTTAGTGGTATAGTGATTACGTTTAGGTATTAGCGTGAACTCATGACTGCACTTAGCGCGATTTTCTGTGTATCATATGGTAAATAAATAGGATATTCTCATGTATTTCATTCAACGCTTGGCAATATTTTACTCGATGCGATGAAAATCATTTATTTGAGCTTACAATTTTACCACTTTTATAAGTAATAGCGCGACCACTTCAGCCATTATTCAAGTTTCTGCCTTCAGGAATACCTAACTAATGACATTTCAAACTTTTCAGATTACAATTTGATTAAATCTATCCCTTTGGTAGAAAACAATCAACGTGGAAAGTACGTAAATTTAATTTGGTTCACTTGGAACCGTAATAAAAATCAATCAAGGGTAATTTTGAGTATCTTGAAATAATCTTTGCCCGTTTTTGAAGTGGAAAGCATAAATTTTGCCCGTGGGCGTCGAAAAAAACCTGGAATTGTATTGTGCATAACTGAATCCATGACAAGATGACACCGCTTCTTGCTAAATTCTCTATATCCTTTGTCACAAGAAATAAAATAGCCTATTATCCTAATTCACTTTTTTTTAAAATTATATGTGTAGTGTTGTTGAAAATAAAGTAGGGGAAGGAGGAGGGGGTCAAAACCAAAATAAGCGCAGTGCCGAAAATACGGATGAAAATAAGGATGCATTCAATAGATACTGTGAGAGTGCACAATTAAACCAACCTGTCAAATTGATTATTACAAAATTGAAATCTGGGCATACGTTTGCAGTAACCGATAAAAATGTTGATAAATCTTCGAAACAGCGTGGTTGTGTTGCAATTTTGTGTGACGTGCTCATTTGTGGGCGTTAGTAAACAAACTATAGGCAAAATGGAACGCAAAATAACATTAGTTTCCTTTTATTGCTTATCGACGTCGGCGAAGACATCCGCATATGCTTAGGCCAATCGACCATCGCGATCCGCCATCATTTCCCGGATTTCTCTTCCCATCTATTGTCGCAAGTGCTGAAATCAAGATTGTCAACAATTAGCGCCATTGGCTTGGGAAGCGCACTCCTTCATTGAGTTGTTTGTGGGTACTTTTGCAAACACCTATAGATGAACAAGTATTGAAAAATAAAAATGGCTAGTGTTATTCTCCTTGGACATTTTATCACGACTTTACTGTCAGGGGCGATAAATGGATCGAGTCAAGAAGGTAAAACTGGTTTTCAATTGACCGGCATAATTTCTGCCATTAGGTGGAGGTGGCACGACAATCCCGGAATAAAAGCTTAGTGTAAGCTGAACGATAATTGGGCTATGGTGAGGCTCCCGGTACGCATTCAAGCATTAATTTGAAAACTACAACGAGTGTTGCAGTGAAACAGCACCACCGTTTTGGGCAGCTATCAAAATTTTAAATAGGCTCAACTAGCTAAATCCAGTCGTTTTGTTATACTTAACCACAACAAGTGCCAGGTTAAGTTCGCATTTTAACTCATCACAACAATTTTTATAAGGATGTATGGAAGTTGGTGGCACGAACCACTTCACCAATAAATCACTCCAGCGTGCTCCAACTGCGAAGCTTTGTGCTAAATCTTTACGTCATTTAAGCCAACGAGAAGATAAATGCTTCGAACGCAAACTTAAAGAGGCAATTTAATGGTAACAGCACGCTTTGCAGAAATCGAATTTGTAAAAAAAGCATAAAGCATAATTTAAATAAGTGTCAAGTTGTACCATTCATGAGGTAATGCCAACTTCATCGACTGAACTATAATTTACGGAACACCCTGAAATCTGTCTAAAATGCATTACGATTTTGGGATTTTAAAAATTCATTCAAAAATGTAAGCGTTTCTCTCCAACATAATAAACTTAAAAGATTATTAGTGTAATTTTAAAAAGGTGCTGAGTTTCGCGGCCTTAAAAACTAGGGAACCTTGAAGGAAATGCAATACTTTGAATTCAATTCGATCGCATTTAAACAATAATCCTTAAGCAAAACTTTTCCAAGGGTGTTATTAGTTAAAGTAAATTCGAATTTCATTAAGAACCTAAAAAACGGAAGTGTAAAGTGACAAGAGGTGCATTGATCTTGTGATAAGCCGGTATACTTGCTAACATCTATTTATATCATTTAATGCACTTTGTTATAAACCTAATTTAAATTTACGTAGTAGTGTCTAAGGCACATTTCTTATTCTATGTCAAGGGGAAATTTTCCGGCGTTAATACTAATCCATCGTCACAAGTTTCAGCATTTGTGATCGAAGAAAAAAGTAAGGAAATGTCTAGAAAAGCTGATTATGTTTACATAAGTTTTAAAAAGTTGTTATGGCTTTATAAACTATGTATCAGTGCCTATTACTCCTAAAACAAATTTCTTAGTAAGTAGACATAATAAAAGTGTTACAAAATTAATGTTTTTGAATATTAGTTTTAGTTAAAACGTAGCGTTCTGCCATTGTACCCTCATTTTTAAGCCTTAGCGCAGGAAAAAATACCCATGCTTCTTACAGGACTGATATTACAGGAAAAGTAATTTTTAATGTGAAATCTGCTTTGTATTGGTCCTTTTTTAAAGAGCTTTGCACACGTTGAAACCGTTTTGAAGTAATTCACGTGAGACTGAATTCCATGTTAAAATTAAAGAAAACCAAGAAGTCATGACACTCAGGTAAAATAGGAAGCTGAAGTTTGGCCGCAGATAAATACAGCAACATTCATTGCCATCGAACGACGCCACATCTGAATCGCTTGACCACATTTTGCAAGTGTGTGGTATTTTGTGCAACAAATTTTTGCAATTTCGAATAATAATTTGGGCTTGTTTATATCTAAACAACCCTGTTTTAATAACGCAGTTATTGAAAGGTACCAAAAGAACTTTGAACACAAATTAAAAAACCAGATTTCATCAGCAAAGCTACACTTTAGACAGTTGAACAAAGCGCTTTAACTGTTTTGATTCCTAAGACTCAAAAAATGAGGTAATGTTTAGTATCTTTGAAAGTTAAAGTCAATATTAAAGGTAGTACTTTGACTTGAACCGAAGGAGCATTATTTTGGGAATGTGCGTCCTCTGCATGATTTTCAGGGGAAATTAAACCTTAAAATTAAAAAAATTGAACAAATTAATCATGAAAAATTTAATCAAGCCAATTAAAAGCAGTTGATCTATTTTTAAAAAAATTCCAAATATCTCGAAGTCACAATTATAACCTGCAAAATCATAGCTTCCTCTCCCATTTTGGCATACTGAACCATTGAATTTATAATTTTTATTTTAAGGGCAAAATCGACAGCACTCATTATAATTCACAAATTGTTCTGCACAAATTTTATGTTTTAAAGCTACTTATTTTATTCTTGAATCACGAATGTCTATTGTCCTTTATCAGGGTCACGTTTAATTTTAATCAAAATGCATTCCTTTTTAAAAATTACGTGCTTTGGTAAAATAGGATACAAGCCTAAATTAATTCAGAAAATTAGGAACACCACATTTTTAGAAAATCATATTGAATTGCTCGTTGCATTTTTCATACCGCTTTCATTAAATGATGCAAGGTGGTTCCTACGATTTTTTCAAGTAAAACTTATTACCAGTTGGTTTGTGGCCCAGAACACAAGCATTAAACATTGAAATATTTACCTCTTTAATTAGTATTTTGTGCAGTGCGTATCACGTCCATATTGGGTTTAATCAAGATTATGACAAGTATGAGTGATAGCAAAGCCCCTTTTTGTTTCCATCAACACATTGAAATGTTACAGTCGATAATCGAGATAATAGTTTAATGCTGACTTAAAATAGGGTTAATAACATACAACGTAATCAATTTTCAGCTTGGACTACAAACTACTAATGTTTGCACACTTCAGGTATAATAACAACATTTTGGTCAATTTTTATATTCTTCTCACTGTTCTTCCCTTGAACAGATTCAAACACCTTTACAGAAATGGCAGGACAGCGAAGCTTATCAATTTTACCTAAAACTCAAGTTTTGTCAGCAAATCCTAGGGGAAATCAAAATTCTTAATTGCGTGCTGTAAAATCAAGCAAGTAAGCGAGTTCTTCGAGCTTTTATGTGATTTCAGGTTGAAAAATGATTGGATTTTGGGGCTAGTTTTCATCTAACCAGTTCCACGAAGTCGGAAATTTTTTAATATTACAATAACATCTATATGGATCTCGATTAAAGTCATGACAAAAAATCATAATTTGCAAAACAAAATGTGAAAATGCAAGGTTTACTAACGTGACTGCTTTGGTCGCCGTATGGCAAATTGAATTTCAAATCTGAGAGTAATTATAATAAGTAAGCTTACTCATATGCAAAGACGTTTCATCCATTTCGGCCAGGTGGTCTGTTCCAAGCAGGTCTATTTTTTCATCTAAATACTCCGATTCGAAACTAGAATCGTCGTCAACTAAAATCACACTCCGGTACTTCTTTGGAAGGAATGCATCATCATCCATAAACGGCACATCGTATAGATTTCTCTTTTCGTCAAAAGTACTTGTTTCGTCTTCATTAAGGGCTTTCTCAACTTTTGATGGTGTTACTGAGTCCGGAAATAGGTAATCATCGTTAACAGCTGGTTTTGGCTGCAAGCGATGCCGACTTCGATGGGGCGCCCCCAGGGTCGCTGATTTAGCCCGCATTGCGCCGGTTGATAAGTCATAGAGTGGGGAACTTCTCGGCCTCGTCCAGGGCTGGTTAAGGGTGCCTGCTCGCGGAAAACTCACCTGTTTCCTCTTCGAGTTAATTGGGGGCAGGTAGTAGACTTCATGACCTGGAAGCACCTTTTCCACAAAGAGGGCGTACTTTGTGTCAAAATCGATTTCGGAGTCTGAATTTTTAGATTCATTTTCGTTGCCGCTCAATATAGACGTTTGATTTAACCCTGTACCGGGTGGAACGATGCTGGTCTTTTCGTCATCAGAAATAACAGACTGCGCTTGCAGTTGCAACGACGCTGCTTCAGTGGAAGGTTCAGTTGCTGGGGTTAAATTGGACGAATTAACTAAACTCATGGTTTCGGAAGATTTTTTTACAGTCATAAGATGTTGAGGAACTTCGACTGATTGAACCTTTTCTAACTTAACCTCCGGAACAAATTCCTGGGCGATCGTTGTCACCACTTCCTCGTTTTCGCTGTGGGACTCGTCGGTTGAAAAATTAATAGGTGCAGCTTGAACTGTTGCCAGGTGAAATTCTGTCACATTATGGACCACATTAGCATGCGTTGGGTTTACCGCTTCCGTCTCAAAGTCCTGCGTTATTACTGGGGATGCTGACTCGGCTACCTCGAGTGCCTGGTTGAAATCCTCATTGCCGATTCCTTCTACAGCTGAATCTTGCTCTAAGGTAAAATGTTGTGTCTTTTCTACCAGCTCTTCCTCTACAGTTTCTTCAGGAACTGTAAGTTCAGGGTTTGATTCATATTGTATCCTCGGATCGGAACCGCAGATTTCCTTGGTTGGCCCGTTTCCACGTAATTTTACCCCAATCCTCGATTTGCTATTGTTGAGTTTATTATTTTCAAACTCCTCTGCGTTTAAAGGCATTGAGTCTGTAAGTGTTCCAGTTGTCAAATTTTCTTCTAATTCTTCATTCAACGGCAAGTTTTCCCCTGCCATACATTCCAGCGAAACTGAGATGTCCCCTCGTTGATCTTGGGGCTGGCTTTCGTCGTTGCATACTTCTAATTCGGTAGTCTCAGCCAGCGAAATTTCGGGAAGTGAATCTGTTGCTGGACAGCTATCAGTAAGATGAAACTGACGTTTAAACTGTTTTTCCTGATTAAGATCCTCCAGTTGGTGATCAAAAATGGTGGCGTCTGCACGCATAACAGGTTCTCCACTTTTTGGAAAAAATGGATCTTTTTCATTTTCTGGAGCATAACTGGCTTCTGAAAACTCATCAGACATAGTAGACATATGAGTGTCCTCTAATAAAACCTCAGGAGATTTTCGGATTGTCTCAGCAATCTCTGCTTTTTCATCAGATACTTTGGCATCGAAGATTTCAGATTCATTACCAGGGATACCGTCTTCTTCATTTACATATTCCGCATGATTCTTCGTAGCCTTTTGTATAGTTCCAGAAAAAGTGGAATTAGGTGAATCGATTTCAGGACTTTCGAACAAAGTTAGCGTCTTTTCGGTGTTCTGTACGAGGTTAACATTCTGGTTCGTAGTTTCTGAGCGGGAGATTTCTCTAACATCCTCCATTAGTTTCAGTTCAAATGCACGGGTAAGCCGAAGTACCAAGCGAACTAAGCGAGGTGGTCAGTACTCAGTCTTACGCAAAGGCGAATTATCATCTCACAGAGGTTTTTGGCTGGTAACCATTCTCACGCGCATGGCCGTACGCTCGCAACGAGGGCCAATTACTTTGCTTCCTCGAGTTGATGGCAGGCTTTATAAGCCAATGAGATGCCCGCGCTGTTAGGGAATTGATTGGAAGAGGTATGTGAACGCACGTGGCTAGTTTTGTAATACAATGATCACGGCTTAGTTAATGCGATTTGGGGAAGGGAGTTGAAAACTAATTTAGTTTTGTGTAGTGGAAGGAGTTTTAAAAAAAAGGAGCATTTAAGGACACAAACTGGTATGTATTTAATGCCGTAAGTTCGTATGTCAATGAGGTCGACTAACAGACCATAAGTACGACATATAGTGCAAAACGAATCTTCAGTTTGACTTAATAATCTAACGGATCATAGTGACTTTATGCGGATTGCACGTAGCCGATGTTTTGTGCACTGCACAAGTTTAAATTTCAGAATTCCAAATATGTGTTTGATTAATGCCTATTCGTATTAGGACTAGGTTAGTATTAAGAGCCCGATGAAGCCTATAGAAAGGCTTATTTTCCTGATCAGGACCTCTATACATCTTGAAAGTTATGAGAAATTTTTGGTCTTCATCCAAGAAGGCAATAATTCCAAATTTTGGAAGTTATGTCAATGAGACGGACTGATTCTACCATCACAAAGTGATGATGCGTATGGAGCCAATCCAAACATTCCAGAAATGCGGACTTATGTAATACCGAACCTCAAGTCTAGGTCCAACGACCAAAATCACTTGACTGTTTTTTTTTGACCGTCTTATATTTTGTGGTTTTCTATCTTAACCAGTTTAAACTGATAGTGATATCTCATTTGCGAGGTAAAACAGGACAGAGATAATTGATTCCGTAACCTCTAGGACCCTGTTATCAAATATAAGCCTCATATTAGGAGTTATAAAAGACTCGACCGTGAGTAGTTATTAGGAAGTGTTATATGAAAAGATAGGAAAGAGTATGTGCTTAATGAATCAATTCAGTCTTCGGTGGAATTAAAAGCTGATCCCTTTAGGTTCTCGATGTCTACGTCTACGCGTTGTCGTCACCCACATGCCTATGACATCATGATAACACGAACTTGAATTCTTTTTCCAGAAATATGGACTTCAAATTTTATGAAGTGTAATTCATTTTAATGCAGTCAGCTATCATACTTAGAAGAGGTTACAATGCACATTTAATCATTCGTTTTTGGTGTCACTTCAGATTCGCTACAATATTACACCAGAACCTTTAACAGTTCGGCTTTCTAGCCAAATATAGTAATTGCCATTCCTACGCCATTTCATTCAAGCATTTAGTATTTTAAATTCACCTATGCTAAAAAGGTAGATTTCTGGTATTCGACAAAACGCCCAGTTGTAAGAGCTTTATCCTGTGGCACGTCACAACGCTGCTGATTTCAAATCATGATTCCCATGGCTTTCATCTTTTGTGCACTTGCAAATATGAGAAAATGAAGTGGTGCATTACTCTCATATAAAAATATCTGTTTCGTCACAATGTCTCCGATTCTTTGAAAAAACCAAAATCTCAGTTCCATTAAAAGTTCATTCACTTTGAATTTTTGCAAAATTTTAGTGGTTTTTCGATGAATTAGGTGCTTTAAATTAGACTTGATTGTGCACAAGTATTAAGGCTAACTCCATTAATTCTACAATTTTCTAAGTTATACTACATTTCAAGATAACATTTATTCGGGTGAAAAAGTTACTTTTCTTCTCTCAACACGTTTTTTCCACATTGGGTTAGCCACCTTATTCTTGAATTGTATCTCCTGTAAATCAACATTATATTGAAGCAAAGAGATATCCTAAGAAGTAGTAAATGTCCGTGTTCGTTGCTAAAATATGGGGCTTTAGTTGTAGATGGTTGACAAAATTCTTTGAATAAGTATACTTTCAGAGCCTTTAAAACTAGGTCTGTGAACACTTAAGTTACCCTTTCTGTGGTAATTTTTTAAAGTGATTTGTCCTTTGGTTTTCCACTAATCCAACAAATTGGCTCTTGGGGTTTAAATCCAGCAACACTTTGTACTTTCTTTTCTGTGATATGGATAGGTTGTTGCATTAATTTTACTGAAGTATTTGTCACCGATATCTGAGTATACCTGGTCTGACCGCTTAAACGACGTTAACTGTGTTCTAGTACTCCCTAGAACAAAAGGGTTTGAATAAAGCTGAAAGAAAATACACAGAAACGAAGTTATATGTCTGAACCATTGAATGACTTGTTTGAACATGGTTGTAACACCTTTAATTATAATTTTGCGTGGCAGCGACAATCAAATAGTTTAGATCCTAGTTTATTAACTTACTATAAGTATAAGTTGAGGGACGCACACTGGAAGAAACAAAAGTGGGAAGAGAACAGAACCCAAGCATTAAGTCATTGTTGATAATGGAGCTAAAACATGCGTTTCAGCATAACTTTATCAGGCGATCTGTCATTATTTCGAGGTTACTTCCTTACCCGTGCTTTATAGGACCGGAAAATTTAAGCTATTTTGAACGTCTATCAATGTTCATTTCCCGAAAGACCGGCCGCAGCAGCCATGGACACACTGTTCCTTCATTTTGACCCTTCTGCTGAGTCAAGGGTAAACTTGAAAGTAGTTTCGTGTTTTATGACCCACCTGTCATCCCGAGTTTTATTTGAGTCACAAAATTCAAGACACAATGATTTTTAAAAAAAGAGGTATTCTCCCTTTTCTGCTACTGAAATTGTTTTGCAGTATCCTGTGGAAAGACACATGCGAAGCTTCAAATAGAGTAATTTTATGAAAACCAAGGGGTTTCCTTTGCAATTAGGTTAGTGTAGCATGCTGCCCCTAATGGGTCAAAACCAGCGTTGTTCAAATTTTTCTATCACACGTGAAAGTGTGGCTGGAGTAAAAACGCAACCTTATTTAATCGAAAGTTAAAAATGTTAACGATGCAAAACCAAACAGTGGGCTATATTTTTAAAAAATATCTTAATTTCCCATTACATTTTGAGAAAATTCCCACCGAGAAGTCGTAACAGCAGTCGGCGTACTTGCTTAAATCAAGTACATAACTTAAAAATTAACCAAAAAACCAAAGAAAAGTTAGTTGATTCTGAATGCATTGCAACCGGACTTTAATTCCATTCCGACAGCTAGTCCACTCTGTCTCGATGTAGATTTTTGTAGAAATTATGCAGCTGCCCGTCGTTAGCACGTAGCTCAGCCTCAGGAAGTGATGTGATTGTTTCATACTTACCACATTGCATTGACTGGCAAATTAGTGTTTTGTTGGTGACCCCATTTTCCGTCTGTAATTTTACTGAGGCCTTAAAAGAAACCATATTATGCAAATTTAAATTATTTGAGTTAAACACAAAAATATGTTCAGATTGCCTTAACCATGTAAGTAGTTTAGTATTATTTTGAGTTTTCGTGCATTACTTTGCTTCAACTATAGGCCACTCCTATGGGTTTTACTATGAAATTCGTCCTCAATTTAAGCCACAAATTGTCAGAAACTATTTAACGTTAATTACTTTCAGCAAGAGAAAAGTTTTTTTTACAGCAGCATGGCAGGAACCTGTAGAGGGTGCGTTAAATGCACTTTTTGTAGTGTCGAGTTTTAAAAAGTTGTCAAAATGACTTTTTCAAGTAAACGAGTGTCGGTTACTTAGATGCAATACTTTAACTTACAAAACGTATTTTTTAGTTCTTATAGAAGAAATGATTTTCACAAATCGAAGAGAGATAATCGATTTTTGTGCATTAAGCTATGATAATACACCAAGAATATAGAATTTCGTGCTAATAAGTCAACTGACCTCACTCAGTACTAAAGCCATGGGAATGGTAAGTCCCAGAATTAATAATTTAATATTTTGTAACAAATTCAGGTCTCGAACAAATAGAGTAGACTTGCAGAAAACAGCTCGATATACCTGCAAGGCCTCATGAGGTTAAAAATCTGGCAATAGTCTTGACCTATGCTCAAAAAGGAATTGAACTGTAACCCTGACCAAATATTGGCTTTAAGAGAGCAAACGAATAATTCCTGAGTTGGTTATCAGTAAAATTATTTGTTTCTGCATACATTTACTATAAAAAGCATGCAGAACTTCCGTACGTTACTGGCTACACTATGAGCGATTCTTAGTTATATCATAAAAACATATTTTATGTACCGTATTTACTGTTTTCTTTCTAATAGCCAAAAAATGGTAGCTGTAACCCAGAATTAGGCTTTGAACGTAAGTCGAATGACAAATTCCCGCTAATCACTTAGGCAGAATGTCTAAAAATCTTTCACGGCATTGACTTAATTTTGGTTTACAACCTGACGAGTATTTGTGGTTGTGTGTATGGCAGTCTCTTCATTTAGGGTTTTTACGTGTTTCTCAGGTACCTAAGATTATCGTGGCATCTGTTTTGTGGTGCCATAAAATATCGTCTTTGCATTCATTTTTCAGTCCCTGTTAAGGTGTGTTTCCATAGCCACCACCAAATTTGACAAAATTCGTAGCAGCTTTTATCTTTGCAAATTACTTTTGGGTTTTCCACAGACAAACCCGCATTTTGCATTCATGTTTCCTTAATGTTTACTCAAAAAGTATCTGCTAACGATGCTGAATACGAAATACTCCTAGCGTGCTCTGCTCACTAATCAAACTGATTCTCTATTTGACGAGATTTCATTCGACGAAAAACTTTTTCAACCTGTATAAGAGATCATTTTTTTCGCTAAGAGAATTTGCTGGATTTGTGAAGTTAACAGTCTGTTCCCCCTATAAATGATTTTACAATTTGGGTTTAAAATTATTAGTTTTTTACAGCCTGCGACATCTGTAACTTAGTAACATTCCCAAACAGCTGTTTTGATTTATAATAGCTTCGAGT